CTACTCCTTCGCACGTGTCGAGACAGCTGCCCAAAACCTCGCCAGGCAGGAAACACTGTAAACGTAGAAATGTAGTTTTAGGACGCGCCTTTCCTGTGCCGCTGCTGCTGCCCAAGTCACACTTTCCAAAAATACAGAACAAAAATAGAAAAGCAGAAACTCGAACACAAATCCACTAGATACGAAGCATATAACCAAGCTTTCAGTTTAGCTGAGCTGCGAACGTCTCTAAACTTCTGGAGTACTTCTGCCCCAGGTTCTGACCGTGTGGTGTATGAAATGTTAAAAAACCTACCAGCAGAGACACGAAAAACCTTACTCTGTTTGTACAGCGCTATCTGGTTTTCTGGCACTATCCCTACCTCCTGGAAAGAGGCTATTATTATTCCCATTTTGAAAGAGGGCAAGGACCCTTCTTTAGCTTCAAGTTATAGGCCTATTGCACTTACAAGCTGCTTGTGCAAAGTCTTCGAAAAAATGATAAACTGCCGACTTGTACATATCCTTGAAACAAACAATTTGCTCGACCCATTTCAGTGCGGTTTTCGAGAAAGTAGATCCACCACAGACCACCTTGTTCGTATCGAGGCACAGATCAGAGACGCCTTCGTCCATAAACAATATTTTCTTTCTGTGTTCCTCGATATCGAAAAGGCTTATGATACAACATGGCGTTTTGGAATTCTAAGAGACCTGTCCCACCTTGGTGTGCGCGGAAGAATGTTTCACATAATCGAAAGTTACCTGTCAAACCGGACATTCCGTGTCCGAGTGGGCACGGTTTTTTCCCAAACATTTGTCCAGGAAACAGGCGTGCCACAAGGTGGTGTACTTAGCTGCACACTTTTTCTCATCAAAATGAATTCTTTGCACTTGTCCATTCCCCGCAATATGTTCTATTGTACATATGTCGACGACGTTCAGCTTGGCTTGAAATCATGCAACTTGGCCATGTGTGAGCGGCAGGTTCAGCTGGGTTTAAATAAGATCTCCAAATGGGCAGATGAAAACAGATTTCGACTTAACCCACAAAAAAGCACGTGTGTCTTGTTCTCTCGAAAGAGAGGCATGCACTCGGAACCTGACATTCGACTGAACGGGCAACGTCTGTCCGTCAAAGGCGAGCATAAATTCTTAGGCTTGATCTTGGACAACAAGTTGACCTTCGTACCGTACATCAAGTATTTAAAAACAAAATGTTTAAAAGCCATGAGTGTTATAAAAGTGTTGTCACGTACTTCGTGGGGTAGTGATAGGCAATGCCTCATGAACCTCTATAGAAGCCTCATTCGCACCCGCTTAGATTATGGGGCCGTTGTCTATCAGTCTGCCACTCAAAGTGCCTTGAAGATGCTGGACCCCGTGCACCATTTGGGCATCCGCCTTTCTACGGGTGCTTTTCGCACCAGCCCCGTAGAAAGCCTTTATGTTGAGTCAAATGAGTGGTCGCTTCATCTGCAGAGAACTTACATGTCCTTTGTTTATTTCCTTAAGGTGAAAGCAGACAAAAAGCACCCTTCATACTCTACAATTAATGATTTGTCGAGCTCAACTCTGTTTCAAAACAGGCCTTCGATGAGGCAGCCCTTCTCAGTTCGCCTGAAGTGTCTAGCTGAAGAAACTGCAGTGTCACTTGAACACAGTTTAATGGCTCCTGTAGCATACCCACCACCGTGGCAGTGGCAGACTATAGACTGCAATGTGTCTTTCCTAGAAGTTACAAAACATGCACCTATTGCCCATATCCGAACATACTTTTTGGAACTTCAACACAAATACACACGTCCTGAGTTCTTCACAGATGCCTCCAAGACTAACTCCTCGGTGTCGTACGCTGCTGTCGGCCCATCCTTTTCGGATGCTGGCCCTCTACATCCACGCACAAGTATCTTCACAGCGGAAGCTTACGCGATACTTGTGGCAGCTAAACACATCAAACAATTACAAATACAAAAAAGCAGTAATTTATACAGACTCCCTCAGTGTGGTAACGGCTCTGCACAGTCCTAAAAAACAAAAAAACCCGGTCCTTGTCTCACTTTACTCCATTTTGTGCACACTCTACACACTTGAACAACATGTTGTAGTGTGCTGGGTGCCAGGGCACCGTGAGATCCAAGGCAACGTGAGGGGGGATCAGCTCGCTGCATCCGTCCATGAGAGCACCGTCATTACATCCATATCAATCCCGGCCCTTGATCTTAAGCCGTCTCTGAAACGAAACCTCAGGGACTACTGGCAGAGAAAGTGGGATACACACACACAAAACAAACTACACGTTATCAAGCCACACCTTGGCCATTGGCCACCAGTATCAAAATCACGTCTAACAGAGGTAACACTAACAAGACTCAGGATAGGACACACATACACGACACACACACCATTGTGTGATAAATGTGGTGAGGCATTAACAGTTCTTCACGTTTTGATTCAATGTAAACATTTAGACACTCTAAGAAGACAACACTTTCCACTATCCTACCGACAACATATACCTTTACACCCTGCAATGTTCGTCGGTAGGGAACCGCTTTTTAGTCACAAATCATTATTAGTGTTTTTAAAGGAAATTCATAATTTTCATATCATATACCCGGGCACACCGTAGCACGACCTCTCTAGAGAGGTTTTTGCTGCGGTGGCTACACAGGAAAGCACTTGCCTCACGGCCCTTGGACGCAAGGGTATGAACGAGTGAGGTACTTGTGCTAATGCCATACATGTCCACCATCGTTTTTCATTATCACTAACTTTTGTCACCTATTCACATCACACACACCTTTCACGCATGGTCATGATTTTATTACTTGTATGTTTTTACCCGCCTTATTGCGAGGAATTTTATGGCCCTTATACAGCCGCTAATCACAATCATTGTCCACATTCTTTGTCCCATGAACTGGCGCTCTTTGGCCATCAAATGGCCCTTGCGCCAAAAAACACCATATATCATCATCACTCTGGCTCGAGTTAGTTTCGTTTTCTGACTAGAAACAGGGCCAGAGCGTCACACATGTCAGAGCATTCTGGCATGTGTGTCGCGTGTGTGCATCTTGCTCGCTCTTGGTGTGCGCGTGTGATCAAGATGGCAGACGGGAGGACTTGCACGCTTTTTCCTGCTGCTCAACAAAATGTCGAAAATGTGACCGTTTGGCTCAAGCGTAATCCGCACGTTTGGTGCCACGTTGTGGAGTGCTTGCTCATAGCTGTTGACCACCTGGCAGCCAACTTGCTGCTTCAGGCATCCCGGTATTCGGTTGTGGAGATGGTTAATATTTCGTGGGCGGCGGTGACGGCTGCATGCACATGCAACTGTTTTCATGAGGCCGACTTCGTCAACGTCGGGCTCGATGCCGAGCTTGAAGCTTCCGCACAGGATCACTTTGGCGGTGATTTGTGGCAGCGCGCCGTCGACTCCGACATGGGAGAGTGGGTGGAAGATCTGTTGCGATAGTTTCATTACGGCCGATGATGCCAACACCGCGGAACCGTGCATGGATTAGGGCATTGTGAATGAAGTACGTGGCCAGAGCGACTTTGGAGGAATCGAATTGCGAGAAGGACGAAACTTTGGAGCCAGTCTCTCATACAGCTTATGCCACGGGCCTCGGTGTACAAGCTCGCTGCTGTTTGAAATAAACTAAAGACCGCCCTTATCGCTTCTGCTCTTCGAAACATGTGCATCACAGACATTTTTGGGCAAAAAAAAAGTTTGTGTTTTCACTTGCAACTTTTTTAAAAGCTGTGTTTCATTTACTATGAACTTCGAGATACAGCCAACGGATGCCGCGTCAGGCTCAGCTTGTTATAAGCGGGCTCGACTGTATACATAGGGTGAAAGCCGGGAGAATTGGGAGACATTTTACACAGTTGTGCCGCATTTACTCGCATAATGAACACACTCCAAACTTTTTTACTTGCATAACGCACTCCCAACTTCAGTTGTGAAAATTTTCGTTTTTTTTATCTCGTGTAATAAGACACCCCTTACATTCATTCGCTGCACAAACTGACACCTGTTGCCCATTGGACCTTTTCCATTCTTTATCATCTTCATCATAAACTTTAGCTTGGGTTGCACAAACTTTGCTGTAGTGATAGTTTTTGATACTCGTAGCTTCACCACAGTCTCTGTAATTAGCAAAGTATCTTTCCAAGGAGGAAAGTAAAACTGATTTTTGTTCCCTGAAGCTGTGCACCTTCGCTGACATAATACTGCTCTTGACTCTAGCTATCTTTTATTTTCTGAACTTTTAAAATTAAACTGTCAAGAAAAAAAATCTTAGCCTTTTGTCGCTTCATTAGGCAAGTTGATTTCAGAAATATCATGTCACATGATGCCGGTCATTATAAAAACCTGACATGTCGCTATCAGACTCGTCAAGGCAATGACAAGTGTGTCTTCTTTACTTGAAAAACAGTAACCCTTTAGCAAACACCTCTTTTTTTTTTGGGATGGGTTGTGGCAGCAGTCTTGACTGTGTTGTACCTCTTTTTTAATTTGTTTGTCGTTCTAACCTTCCATTCATGTTCTAACCTTTAATTCATGTTCAGTCTTATGCTTCCCTGATGTACTTTTAATAACTGTTTTTCTTTTTGTGCTGTGCAGCATAGTGTGGACCAGGTAGGATAAAGAAAAATCCCACTCCTCCCTCAAACACAGCTGTCTCATTTCTCCCAAAGTAAACAACATTCAGCGGCTAAAGTTCATTTGTAATGCCTAAACATTTCATTGAAAAATTCCAGCCTTGATGCTTCTTTTTCAAAAAAAAAATTTGTATTAGCATTCATGAAGCAGTTGAAATCTGACAGTGTTACAATTATGATAACAAGAACTTGCTTTTGATATGTGAAAAGGGCAACTTCCAGTTACAGACAGATGCAGAATCCCATTTCTCCAACTGTCCCAAACCTCCGGACTCTCCCCTACATCCAGGTTTTGACTGACGGCAATGGCAAAAATCATTTCAGTGTCGCTATAACGGCCATTGTTTCAGGTTCAAGTGTGTCCAATATGGTCAATGGCAAAGACGCTCAGCTGCCAAGCTTCTGGGTTCCCAGCCTGACACCAAGTGCAAAGAAGGACAAAGCTGTCAAACCGGTAAGAGCCTTGGCTTCTCAGATATTACTGGCATTTCAGTGACACTGTTGCTGCAAAGCATTTTATTGCTTCGTTATCTTTGTCCGCTGTAGTGGATCAGTGACTAACGTGCTCGGCTGCTGACCCAAAGGTCACAGGTTCGATCCTGGCTGCGGCGGTTGCATTTTGATGGAGGGGTAATGGCAGAGGCTTGTGTACTGTGCGATTTCAGTGCACATTAGTGAACACCAGATAATTAAGATTTCCTCTCCACTACAGCAGCTCTCATAATCGTATTCTGGTTTTGGGACACAGAACCCAGATATTATTAGTAGTGCTTTGCTATTTTCAGCCCATTTCTTAATCATGCCTCACCTATTCGATGTTGTGAAGGTTACAACTTCATGTGTATTATGTGTAAAAATGCACGCTTATTTTTGCTTCCAATTCCTCGTGTGGTTTTGACTGAAAAAGGTGGCAATCAGACTTTTAAAGGGGTTGTGCCACCAAATTTCATACAGCAGTGTATGGACTAGGCACTAGGCATGCTAAGAGGCCATCAACAGCGAACCTGCACTTTTTGTTATTTTATTTTTTTGTTGTGGGATCTTGTGGGTGGCGATGAAGTGCCGGAGAAGCTGTCAGGAGCACGCTAGTGTGTTAATCAGCGATCTTCACTTTTGCCTATGTATTTAGGTGTAAAACGTATGCCACCAACCCCCGTAACATTATTGGTGGAGGTGTTGGGTACAACAGCAGGTAATGAAGGAAGTTCTTCAGCGGACGTCACATCGCTTTGTGAACCATGCCTAACATTGAGCCCTCTGCTTTAACATCACCGTCTCTATCCACGGCGCTGCCACCACCATATGTTTTCACACTGCTCAAGGATCTCGGTACATTCTTCAAGATCGATGGCGTCGAGGTTGAAGATTGGTTGGCCATGTTTTAATGCGTGAGTGTACCTAACAGATGGGATCCCACGCTTAAGCTGGCCAACGCGTTGTTCTACTTGCGAGGTACGGCAAAGGAGTGGTATGAGAACAACGAAGAAAGACTCACCAGCTGGGATGTATGCAAGGAAAGATTACGAGAGGTATTTTGCAAATGCGCCTGCATTGTCGAGAGAAAGGAATTGGCCTGTCGTGCCCAATCTTTTACTGAGTCCTCCCTGTCCTACAATAAGGACTTGCCAACTCTTTGTTATAAGGCCGACAGTGACATGACAGAAGGTGAGGAGTTCAGGCACATGCTAAAGGGGATTGCTGATGGCACATTTAATCTCCTCATGTGTAAGGGCTCTTCCATCATGGATTTGATTATCAAGGAGTGTCGGCAGTTAAAACAAGCAAAAAGCCGCTGCATTGTGCAGTCATTTTCTAGACTCCCATACACTGCTGCGATTTCCACGTATGAAGACCAATTGGCGCCGTAGCGTACTTCACCTTCTGAAGCCCTTTCACAAATCGTTCGTCATGAACTCGAAGTGATGGTTCCGACAGCATTCTATTCAGACAGCTCTGATGCGAGTCCAGTTTCAGTTCCTTTCGTGTAAGCCCTCATTCTTCAGGAACTTGAGAATATTGGAGTGATGTCCATGTGTCAACACAGAGCACGGTGTAACACAAGCAGATGATGAACGCTTGCTTCCTGCAGGAGGTTCCGTGATGTAGACTGAGATATTCAACAAGATCGATCACTGGGTGCTACATGTACTGGAACGTTAATACATGAGGATTTGAAGACTCGTTCGACTGAACTGCTGCGGTCTGCAGCTTCAGTATATTTTTTTATATCTCTCAGACAAGCTCGTCATCTTGTACTCTGGACCACAGTGAACTACATTTGCCAATTATTACTGTGCTGCTGATCGCGCAGACCTTTCATTGAGAAAATCAATTCCGCATTTGTTTCCCACCCCTGACCAATCCCCGTCGTACGCACCATCTGATGAAAGCTTGCCCGTGGGCAACGTTACACACCACAGCTGTTCGTAAATTTATTTTTTGCCCTACGAAACGGCACCTTGACCCTGCAGCAATGCAGTTTCAGCCACGCATTCTGTATTTTCATTTTTGCGTGTTGCCCTCTGTTGTTTTGTAACACCTGGAACTCCAGGGGAAGTGGTTGGAGATGTGCGTCGTGGCAGATTTGACCAGTGGCAACGTCGCGATTGTTCTAAGTCGCTGGTGCACAGCTGCTTTTCATCGACAGCGCCAGCGAGGAAACCGAAACTACTAGTTCAAAAAGCTATTTTACGGTGTTTTCTTTGCGAAAATTATTAGCTGAGATTCGAGGCTTCTAACACTAAGGGCTGAGAGAACAGCATAGATATTTGCTAGAAGTCAGAGAACTGGCAAAAGTTTCCCAAATGTTTTCTTTTCAGCGCACATACTGAAAATTTTAAAACATAGGTGAGGTGAGGGCAGTTATGTCAATTCATGTACAGTGTATCGATTTCTGGAGTCTTATGTATACTATTACCATGTTATGAACATGTGGCCCGCCGCAATGAACTGCTCCGAAAGTTTCAAACACGTGGGATTTATTGAGGTGCAGACATCATTTAGCATCCCTCAAAATGCGTACTCAGTGGCTATGAAAACGGCGCTCAAGTGCTCGAACATGCGATGAAGCATTAAAGGGCCAGTAAACAGCCTCGAGGTAAAAAAATTGTTGTGAAAAATAATATGCACACTTTTGTTTTGTGAAGATGCTGACACAAAAGTTTTACGAATACGTACGTGTTGTAAAAAAGAAGTTACAGGGGGTAAGACAGTTCATTTCAGCTGATTTCAAATTTTCGCAAGGTGTGGCCACTATTACCTATTATAAGGAGGAGAAAGGCGTAGGCGGTATTTGTGGCTCCACTTAATTCGACAACGGGACACGACATCAGCGATTCGTTATTGACACGCAGCTGACGACAAAGCAGGCCATTCTGAACGCTAGCGCATATCATAGTGGTGCGGGCAGGAAGTGCAGTTCAAGGAGCACAGTTCTCCCAACAGTAAAGTAGTGAGACACTTCTTATCTCCGAGGCTTTCGTTCTGGCAATACCGCTTCTCCCAGTCTCGGGCTCTACAAAACAGCAGAGGGAAGCACAGGAAAATGAAAATGCGGACTGAATGGGGCCAAGGCACCGTTTCATAGGACAGAGGCCTTTTGAGCGAGCTCAGTGGTATGTCAAGTTGCCTGTGTTCAAGCTTGCGTAGGGGGGGAGGGGATGGGTCTGAAAGAAAGATGTGCAAGAATTGTTTTTTGAAATGGAGTGTCTGCATGGTGCGCAGCGCTGTAATATTCGGAAAATGGGATCGTCGCAGTCTACTGTACGAATTGGTGAACTTTATTGGTGTGTGAAGAAAAGTTGGAGCCTCTTTAATGGCCCTTTAACTGTGGAATGCTTATAACTATCAGAAAAGTGTATATAAATCTTTTTATTAAACTAGAGCTCTGTAACGCTGTGGCATTAATAGATACATCTAAATTAGCATGGGTGTCCTGTCATAAGCTTATGTAAAATAATACGCACAAATGCTTTACCTATTGCTGTACCTATTTTCGAGCCGTCTGGGCTATTTAGTGACAAGCCATCCCCTATTGAAAGCACTTTTCTGACTAATTTCAAAAAAGGAATGCTCTCAGCAGCAGACTGCTCACAACTAGGTAGGGTAGACAGCGATTTTGCTCGTGCGTCCGTGGCTCATGTACTTTTGCTCATGAGTGTACATGAAGAGAGCTGTAGCGTAAATGGCACTAAAAAAGGTAGAACAAACGAGGATGCGCACAAAATTTATCTTGCTGGTCACTGAAAATATACAGTGGATAAGAGCACATGCAAACGTGAAAAGCTAGGGAGGGCAAAAGTCAAAGAAAAAATCGTGGAAGAAAAATCTCTGAAAAGAAGTAGCCCATATGTGCGCATTAATGCTTTTGAAGTAGAATTACTCAAGTCTCATTTGCATGACCTCAACAATGATCGTCCTCATGTTTATATGGCTGCGTAGTGCACCCTTCGCGCATATAAGCCATCCTTGTTCCTTCACGAGTAGCAAGCACATCATGTAGAAGGCATTCATGCACGCACTGTTTAGAGGGGGTCATAGAACACACGCGACACTCATGGCTTCTGCAGCATCTTATAATGAGTCATGGTTCCTCCTATACCGTTTTGGGGTGGTGCAATTGACGTCAACTCAGAAAAAGGATGCAACTTTGGGTTCTCCGGCTGTTCCAGTATACAGGTGTTGTCACTGCCGGTACAAAAAGCGTATGACTGGGAGTAAACTAGTTATCACATGCAAAAAGGAGGTCCTCAGGCAAGTAACAACTACATAGCCAGAGAGACTGATACTGGTCTAACATTATGGCTGCGCTAAATCCAAAGAGACTGATGCTGGTGTTACATTATGGCTGTGCCAAATTAAAGACTGAGCCAAAGCGCACGTTGTTCCAATTGACTTCTTTAGTCGTTTTTTCTGGACGTGGGCTCGTGCTTGCCATAGTTCATTACCAGCTGACAGTATATTCTTGGAAGCTGTGTAGTGAAATTTCCTGTTATTTGGCACATGAACTCTGAGCTTGCATATAGTGTGCCACACTAGTAGATGGTGTGGCACACTTTATGGGGAAGGACTCTTAGTTAATCAAAAGTCAACTTTCAGTCAAGCAAACCTAATGGTGACAGGACAATTTTTCGTTTGTCACTGGCATTCAGAGAAATTTGAATACAGGCTATGTTTGTTATAATGAATCGGTATACAACGGACTTTCGCATACAACAGACCATTATTCAGCCTAAGCTTGGTCGGCGTAATAAGTTAATGGAGAGAAGTTAGCTTTAAACGGACCGCAATACAACAGACTGTCAGCTACAGTGGATGAAATTAGCAGCAATTTTTGTTTAAATTGGGTGCTTAAAGTGGACTTATGCCGTGTTGACGCGGGCTGATAACAGATTTCACCACGCCACTCTTTGAGAGCTAAAGCCACGATAATATTAAATGGTAGCTGGCAACATTGGTGAGCCAAGCGCCACTCTTTGAGAGCTAAAGCCACGATAATATTAAATGGTAGCTGGCAACATTGGTGAGCCAAGCGTCTAGCCAAGCCAGTCTGAGAGCATGTTGGCAAAGTTGGTCATGCACGGACGTAGCTAGTTGGTGCCATTTCGTGGTTGTGTTCCCATGCTTGACTGTTCTGTCTGTTCACAAATTTTGATGTATTGGCCTCCGCAAACCAGAAGCAAATTTCGATGAGCGACAAGCTCAAGATAGTGAACGCGGTCGCGCATAGTGAAAAGCAGGCACATATTGTAAAAGCAACGGGACTGTTCAAGCAGACTGTGAGTTCAATTGGGAACAACAAGAGTACCACTGGCAAGCAAGTTGGAGAGGAAATAAATCCCAAGCGCTTAAGACTCCGTGAGACGACATATGCGGACGTTGAGTATGCACTTTTAATTTGGCTATGTGATGTCCCATCTGGTGATATTCCAGTCAACAAACTATTGTTGAGGAAGTGGGCCGAGCAGATAGCTGTGGTCCTCGGACTCGATGACGGCGTCACTTTCAGCGATGGATGGCTGGAGAGATACCTTGGTGCTGTTCAGTTCAGAACTTTTAGACGAACTTGGGGCTGTCCAGCGATCCTTGAAACAGGAGGAGGGGGAGGGGGCTGCACTCCTGGCAATAGGCGACCTACTTCAGCAGATATGCCTTCCCCCGTCCACACAAATAAGAATTTATTTAAAGCTGATCAACAGGAGCGTATGAAATAGCCTACTAGAAACGTCTTATTATCAGGATAAGTTTCGTTGCGAGAGCAATTATATGAACAATCTCAGCTGGTTTTTTGCCATCGTCGCCGTCATTCACCATGTATGTACAGGTAATGCAGTTTATTTGTAAAAGATGAAATAATGCTCATAAAAGACAAACAGAAAAATAGAACATAAAGCTAGCTTGCTAAATTGGGGTGGCTAGGATTACTATGACAAGCAATCAGCTGCTGGGCATTTTATCTGTGAAAGAAATGTGTTTGTGGTGGCAGTGCGATACGTGGCACTGACCACATTTTGGGATAAGTAACCATGGGAGTGTGGCACCATAGTTGCTAGTAAACAGTCAGAGGATGATGAAAATTGTGTTCTTCACTCTGCTCTTGGGAAAAATAAGTATAGGACCTATGTATTAAACAAGAAAACAAAAATGTATTGATGTAATAGATATATGTAATCTTGATACTTTCAATAATTTGGTATTCGATTAACTTGGGCATTTTGTTGGTGCTTTGAAATTCAAATTAACAAGCTTTTACTTTATTCTTCTTTAGTACTGCAATGTTTACTTACTTGGGTACATCTCATGAGCTTGGCAAGCAGTTTTGCTAACATGAATGGAGCAACGAAAAGGGTATGTATTGCTGTGGGTTTCTTCAAGTTACTGGCAGGGCAACCATGCACACATGGTGTAATGCCTCCAAAGTCTGCCACATGTTCTTCATGAAGTCATTTTAGCAGCATTTCGGCAAGAGCAAAAAAGAGCGTTTAGAAGAAACCTGCCTTCCGCAGCATCTGTGCTTCTTGGAGGCTGAAGCTTTCTGCTAACTTTTGTAGGCAAGAGGGCTGCCCTGAAACATGATTAGGCGTTTTCCTTTTTAAAGAGGAACAGAAAAAAAGAATAAGAGAAACTTATAAAACTTCATAATTCTACTCGGAAGATGCAACTGCTCTGATAAAGAGTTAATTTCTCATAGTTTAATAGTGGGCTGTATTTTTGATGTTTTGTTTTTCGAAGCAGTATTTGTGTGATGCCTCCTTGTGACCGGAGTCACCTTTTGTTACATCCTGCCCTTATGTAATGCCCCTTGAGGGGCCCTTCAGGGTCAATAAATAAATGATAATCGTCCCACGGTGGTGATCTAGTGGCTAAGGTACTCGGCTGCTGGTCGTGGGATCGAATCCTGGCTGCGGCGGCTGCATTTTCGATGGAGGTGGAACTGTTGTAGGCTTTTGTACTCAGGTTTCGGTGCACGTTGAAGAACCCCAGGCGGTCGAAATTTACGGAGCCCTCCACTATGGCCTCTCTCATAATCATATAGTGGTTTTGAGACGTTAAACCCCACGTATCACTCAATCAGATAAATGATAATTGTCAGCGCACGGCGGCTGCTTGCAAGCTAGAGCCCCGACGACACAATCACCCAGGCGCGTGCAGAGGGCTCGAGTTCATTCCACTCTCCCCCTTCCACAGAAGCACTGATACTTCCACAGAAGCACTGGTAGTTCTGTGAATTGTAAGGGAAGATGAGTGAGTCGAGAGACACGGGTGAGTTCTGGGATTGTTGGCTTGCCCGTTTCGGGTGGGTATGACGTCATCAAACGTCACCTGTGGTAGTTCACGGTGCTGCCGCTAGACGCGGCAGTTTGTGACAAATGCATTGATTCATTGTTTTTTTGCAGTTTTTGCTTGGAATGAAGGCTGTTTCTTCGATTTCAGGACCCAATCTTTCAGTTTGGTTCAAAACATTGGCGGCAGAAATTTTGTTCAGTATCCCTTGAATCACTTTAGAATGGGAGGAATCAAAGTGCAGAAGAGCTGTCTTGGTTCTTGGCCTATAGTGCGTGTTCCATGTGTCCCATTCATTAGGCTTCATTTTTTCAATTTTATGATGAAATTATGGTTTCTGTTATGGATTTAAGAATGTTCAGGCTGTCGACTTGTGTGTGTTTTCATTGATTTCAGTCGCATGTGGTTGCTGAATTGTGCAGCTCAGCCAACATTTATGAGCATCAATTAAGAATCTATGTCCACTTTTCAGAGAAACGTTGTGCTTTGCCCTATGAGTGGAAACCCAATCAAGGCCAAGGACTTAATTCCGATCAAGTTTACTCCCGTGGTGGACCCCGATGAGAAGGCATCCCTCATTACAAAAAAGGCAAGCATGTGCAGTTTCATCATTCTTTGTGTGCCCTTTTCAAATGGCAAAAAGTGCAACTTGCATAGAAGCAGTTTGGGCTATTGGTGCCGGTGTTGCTTGTGTTGGTTCCTTTAGTGTGTGTGCTGTTAGTCGTAAACGTGCCTTTTGGGGAAGGGGGAAGGCAATCTGATGCAGCATAGTTTTTGGATGAATTTTTGTCACAGCCTTCATATTCGTTCAGTCTCCAACTCATTAATGGCTGGTGGATGTTGTGTAGCCAAATTGAGAATGAAACAACTGCTCAGGGCTGGAAGTGCTGCGCCATTTGCACCAATTTGACCTGCTGCTCCAAGGGCGCCTAAACGGCAATTCGCATGTGCAAATTTAGTCGAGTTTTATCATTGACCGAGCAACGCGCGTGTGCTACACTAAGGACGCAACTGCGTCCATATCAAATCAGTTCGGTCACGTCTATTAGTTCCGTTTCACTAGTCAGGTTGTATTTCGGTTCATGCATTAATCTTGTTAAGGTGGCGTGCGTGTGCATAACTCATTGTGCGACTCTATATATGTTTGAACAGCAAAGTTGTTAGCCGAATCATATAAACTGAAAAAAAAAAAAAAACTATAGATCAGTTTCACCGGCGAAGCGATGACTGCAACAGCAAGAATTTGTTATGTTGTAATGCTGATGCTGCACGCGCTCCTTTCTATTTTTGCCACCACACCATTACGCGTGTAAAGCTGCCTTGTGGAAACGGCGCCTGAATTACTGGGAACAATCTAGATAATCTTAGAACCTTCCAATGAGATTACGCGCAGAACGCGTACTTTAGAGTTCTGGAACTTACGCGGCCGCTAGCGGTAACGCCAGAATCTTTGATGGCACATGTATAAAAGCCGACGCACGTTGCTGCTTGACAGATTATTGATGGTCGACACTCTGGTTTGCTGTTATTAGTCTACAGCGTGTATTGTTCGTAGAGTGACATTTAGTTTCTCGGGCACAGGTTTGCTCAAATGAAAAGCTCACTTGTGAAAACAGCGGCTGCTGCTTTCGTCAACATCACGACTGCGTGACAATACGAAGGCTGAAAGCTATTTTGTTTGGATCCCTCATCGCAACACTCTACAAAACGCTGGTGTAAGAGAATAACGATGGCCGATCCAGGGAGAAATGCTCTTATCGCACAATCTCTTTCCATTGAGAGCTCACCACGTAGAAGGGTTTATGAGCCGCGTGTTGATGCTTGCCGGTAGCGCGCGCTCCAGCTTATCGCAACCATGCCTTAGAATCAAAGCCCCCTCCACTCCCCCCCCCCCCCCCCAGGGTCTTTTTTCGTGCTCGTTGAAGACGGGCGGTGTGTTTTATCTCTGTTTGAGCATTCGACAGCAGGTGTAACACGCGGTGGGATACTATCACGTGCGCCGCCCTCCGAATGAGCGATGGAGATCGGCAGCCTCGTTTAATCTCTGCTTTAACAGCGCTCACCACCCCAGCTTGTTCAATGTTACGCGCGGATAGAACGTACGATGCGCGGAGATTGTTACCAACTTGTAGTTTATGCGGAAAATAGCGGTGATAGCGAAAACCCGTCAAGTGTCCATATAGTGCATATCGTAATAAAAACAAATCACTTAATTGCTTAGCGATAGGGAGTTTTAGAATAGCGCACCGCGAGCCCTTGGGGTGCGGTCGCTGCCACTGCGCAAGCGTCGCAAGGTGAGCCGCCGTTCGCGTTCGCGGTTCGTACGCAGAAAATCCGAAATAGTGGGCGGCTTGTGCGACCCAAACGCTGGTTTTGAGGCTACGGTGTCGCTGGGATCGTGCGTTGTGGTTTGCAGGAGGGCAAAGGCTGTTCTAAAACTCGTATGGCACTAGCTATGCCCGCAGCACCAGCAAACGTTATTCTAAAGCTCCTTAATGGCATGGCGAGTCCATCTAAATTTTTTCACGGTTCTCATGTGAGCTGTAGCACTTTAATGACCGGAACATAAAATTTTTACTCATTTTTATAGAGCCCCATTGGTTTAGTATAAAAATAGCTTTCATTAGTTCATCTCTAGTCTAATTGACTTGCTGTTCATGTAGGATGCGTTGTTTTATTCACATCTTGAACATTTTTCCTTCATTGGTCTGAGTTCTGGTAGCTGTCCAGGGTACCGTTTAAATTTTTTCTTTGGGTTGCTGTGCTTTCAGCTTTGATGTTGTAAGATTTAATATATTTATCAATTTGGGGTAAGTCTGGTCACTTGATCAGCATTGAATGCTTAGTAAAAAAACACGGAAATTTTTTGGTTTTATGAGAAAGCAACCCTTCTAATTAACAATGATGTGTGACCCGAAAAATCTGCTCCAAAGCTAAATTTTGCTGCTCCAAAATACATACTTTGGTGTTCCAGAGCGGCTCCAAAACTCCCCTTTGACTGCTCCAAGTCTGCTCCAAAACTGTAATATTCCTGCTCCCAAAGCTAAATTAGGAATAATAAGAAGAAAGGCAAAAGGCATTGTGGTCTAAAACAAGGCATGGATAAAAGCTAGGTGCTTACACTTGAATTACCATGTCTCTGTCTGCTTCTCTCTTAAAGGCGTGACCGTTCCACTCTTCCTTTAAGAGTGCCATCTTAATGTTCAACCTAGTGTTTAGGTTAAACACGAAAGCCTAGTGTCCCAAAAACGATCACAATAGGTCATATGGTTTTTTAAGAGTATCGCGTGTGCAGTCTTTGGTCATGGCTTCAGTGGATGGCTTCTGTCCAGAACTTCATAAGTAACTTTGCCCACTAGCTGCAGCTTTTTATTAGGGCAAAAATACTAGCTGTCAAGTTTTTCTAAAAGACTTTTGCAATAGCTGGAGGTCGAAACTAACACTTGGTCACCTGGTTGGAACTTGCCTTGTCTGTGGCGGAACTATTATTGCCAAATGTCAATGCCTTTTTGTTTATTGATGTTCACACAAACCAGTTCGCATGCTTTTTCAATACAGTGCACAAAACGCACAGTGTCTTCTTCAAGGCTGTGTGTGTTTTCTCATGGCCCCACCGCAGTGGTCCAATGGCTAAGGTACTCGGCTGCTGACCCGCAGTTCGCGGGATCGAATGCCGGCTGCGGCGGCTGCATTTTCGATGGGAGGCGGAAAGGCTGTAGGCCCCTGTTCTCAGACTTGGGTGCACGTTAAAGAACCCCAGGTGGTGAAAACTTGCGGAGGCCTCCACTACAGCATCTTTTATAATCATATGGTGGTTTTGGGACGTTAAACCCCACATATCAATCAATAAATGTGTTTTCTCATGTAGCAGCACATTCAAGATTATTATGACATCACAGTTGTACACAAGAATAAACAATATGCACATGTGGTCTGTTGTGTAATGGTATTGTGTGCAAATGTTATGTGTGGCAGTACTTCATCCCACACCTTGTGCTGTACATCCATGTACATAGACAGCTTATTAGTGGTCGTTTTGTTCAGGCATTTGTTCGAGCCATTTCTCTGGGGGTGATAACTTCTTTGCATGATGCAACTTAGTTGGAAAGCGTGTTTCAGCGACTTTTTTGTAAATGCTGTTCCTCGGTATGTGATTATGCATGATAGAAGGAAAGAAATGTGAATTTAAGGGCTCGTTTTCTTTGTTAGAGGCAACAATATTGTCACGAAGTCGTGATGTGGATGAAGGGAGCAGACTGCATGTCGAATAATAAACTGTTTATTCGGGCCGAACTTGTGGCCACATAAAATGAAGTTGGATTACAGCAAACCACTTGCACTGATAGCGGCGAGCAAAGTGCAGGCCATCGATCAACTGACAAGCGGCGAAGCACGGCAGAATTTATACATGTGCCATGGAATTTTCTAGCGTTATCGCTAGCGGCGGCGTAGATTCTATAATGATCTGTAATGTTCGCGATGTGAACGTAATCTTAACAAAACTATCTACTACAGCCTTGAAGCTTTTCAAACATTGTAGGCACGATTTGCACTGAATGTAATGCAACAGGGTGATAACAAAACTTGAGGGAAGGAACGTGGCAACATCAGTTTTTATTATTACATCTGAAAAGGGGTTTATTGGTGACTGTTGCGACAGTGGCCCTACGATGAAAACACGATCGGGACAGAGCAACGGTCTATCAGATTCCGGCAATGATCGGCACGAGCCGAGCGAGAAAAGCCCAGCACCCAGTACCCAAGTGGTAGCGATGTTGCTTGCCAACGATGCGTTTTCTTCTTCACGATTTGCCCCCGCCGAAAAAGAGCCATCCTGGCGACCTAAGAGTCTGGAGGCAGAGGGCTATGATATGGCTTAAGGCGGGCGACATGGACGATGTCACGTCCACGCTGGCGCATGTCGTCAAATGGGGAAAGTGGCTCAATAAAAAATTCATCGGCAAGGTTTGCTCCAAAACGCGGTATGGGCCCTCGTACTTTGGAACGAGCTTTGAGGAAAGGCCGGGGGTTTGGTAAGGAACAGCCTGCCATACAAGTGAACCCGGGGAATAGCTGTGGCTTTGTGAAGAGTCGGCGTTGTTTTCTTTCTGGCGCTGCTGTTCTTGTGATGTAAAGGTGCACTCTTCCGCATTTCAGGCAGCTTCAGACACAGGGGGGCATTCGGATGCATCAGGACGGTATGGAAGGAGAGTGTCGATGGTGTGGGATGGTTCGCGTTCATAAAGAAGAAAGAAAGGTGAAAATCCAGTGGTAGACTGTGTCGCGGTGTTGTATGCGAAAGTGATGAATCGAAGAATGCGGTCCCAGTTAGTATGATTAGATGTCACATACATCGCGAGCATATCGCCAAGGGTGCGGTTAAATCTCTCCGTGAGCCCATTAGTCTGCGGGTGGTATGCCGTGATCTTGCGATGAACAACATCGCATTCAGAAAGCAGAGACGTGACGACTTCTGATAGGAAGGCTCGACCTCGGTCACTTAGTAGTTCACGAGGTGCACCATGTCGTAGTAGGAAGAGATGAAGGACGAAGGATGCTACGTCCCACGCAGTAGCACTTGGAAGGGTG